GGCACACAAAAGTGGAAACACTTCAGGAGTTTCGAAGTGGTCATCGGATTGGTTGAATTATACAGGATTTCCGGGAGACGTGTGTGTCGCGCTCTTTAACGTTCCGCCTGGAAACAAAGATGCCGTGAGACCAAACCCCCTCACCAAAGAAGAAAGCCGTCGTGTTTACAACTGTGACGATGAGTGCTTATCAGGATCAACTAAATGCTGGATTCTCAAAAGTATGTGAAATATTTCAAGTTCGCCGCATAGAATCTTTAAAAAACGTCTGAGAGTTTTACACACCGGTCTGTTATTGTGGCGACATTTCCACGCCCCGAAGCGTGACGCTGAAACTAAACGAACTGTGATTGGTTGTTTGACATGCCGGTTAAATGGCCTCATGGCCAATTAAAGCTGCCATGAATGCCACTGAAGGTCTGGCTACGCGAGACTACATATTCCGTGTGTCTCAATGTTCATACTATCCATCCTAAATAGTATGTGAGATTAGAATAAGTGTGTCCCAAAGCATAGTATGTTGAAAAGAGCATGCCAAAGTAGATGGTCTACTATTTCAGGTCAATTTTTGAAGTGTGGATCCATGCACACTCTAATGGCTAATATTGCCCACAATCCATTGCACTTTGTTGAAGGATTCTGTCCAGAACTACAAACACGAATAAAACGTGTTAAAAACTACAAACATGGTGGATGTGCACGACCGGCGTTTAGGTAGAGAGGCTTAGAAAAAGGGGTTTCAGTTACTAATATTCAACATTTAACCTGGTAAAAAAATATTTATTTAATGCTATCTGTGTTATATTTCATCTGCAACAGCAAAATTAACTTTTAAATGCATCATTATGCATACAATATGACCCGCGGCTCGCAGATCAATGTGCTACTTCTTTTCTCTCCAATATGGTAGGAAGTTAAATGAAATGAAGTGGAGGATGATTGACAGGCCAGTTTACAGTGACAGGATGCGTGTATCTATGCGACAGAGTGACCACAACGAAACACAGTGCCTTCACGACATGGCGGCAGCAACAACACTACAGCGAGAATAAAAGTTACACCGATGTGCAAATCTTCCCACATAGTGAGGTAGACATGTGGGGGCGTGTTAGAATGAGGCGTTTTAGGTAGGCGTGGCTGACTCTTAACTTTTATAAAGAATATCTCTTTGGATTTGAGACTTTAGTCTTTGCAACTTTACAGATCTTCTTTATGCAGCTTGTAACACTCAAAAGAGAAAGGAACAATTGAAATCACATCATATGACCCCTTTAAAGAGGCAGTTGTGTGACCTGATAGTGTGTCCCAAAGCTTGCCTACTCTTACACACACAAGTGTGTACTTTTTCTTCACCAAAATAGTAAGGGCGTAGTACAAGTAGGCACGCAGCAAGAGTTTTTATTTGGACTTTTGCAAAACCAAAGTCGGCTTATTTGGGCCAAATGTTTTTCATAACATTCCTACAATATTTCAGAAGAGCTAGACCTCTATCTTTAAACAATGTGCCGTTAATAGAAGCTCTACAATGGTCTGTGTTTTCCTGACAACAAACAAAACAAAACAGCGAACGTGTGTAGACGTCATCGCCTCTGTGCGCTCCACGTCAGTTGCGCTCGCCCGTGACGTCACCGCGCTCGAGTGGGAGTCGAGTCTTCTCCGGAATCGTTTGCTTTCATTTCTGCACGAGCCCGTCTCGCGCCGTTTCCTTCGCTTCCCTTCGAACCAAAACAAACGTCGCCCGAGGCCGCTCGTTCCCCCGCACCGCTGAGGGATTATTCGGTGTTTTCTGCGAAAAGGCGGCCAGCAAAGCCAGAAGAAGATGAGTGTGGAGGCGTACGGGCCGAGCTCGCAGACGCTCACCTTCCTGGACACGGAGGAAGCGGAGCTGCTCGGGGCCGACACGCAGGGCTCCGAGTTCGAGTTCACCGACTTCACGCTCCCCAGCCAGACCCAAACTCAGGGCCAGACCCAGAGCCAGCTCGACAACCAGGTATAAACACACAATCGAGCCTTTCTGTCAGGCAGCCCTCAACGCGTTTGAGTCCAAATATGGCGAGCTTAGCAGGCGCTAGCCGCGCGGTAGCGTTAGCAACGACAGAGCAGGCCGCCAGAAGAGAGAGAGAGTTGTCAGAGGGACTTTTCTGAACTACAATAGTGTACAAATACGAATTTAATTAGCTAATAAATGAAACTACATATAATAGCTCTTAAGTTGCTATCGATGCTGAAATACGTTACGTCAAATAGCTTGTTTTGGTTGGTTAGCTGCAGCTCTCAGGTGTATTTGTGTACTTTCAGAGGGACTTTTGTGCACTACATTAGTGTCTTGTTAAATTTTAACGTGCTAATAAATACACTAGCTCTAAGGTTGTGATTGATGATGGATGTGTTACGACAAATAGCTTGTTTTGGTTGGTTAGCTGCAGATCTCAGGTGTATTTGTGTACTTTCAGAGGGACTTTTGTGCACTACGTTGGTGTTAATAATAAACTCATTGTCTTATAATATTAAACAGCTTGTTATAACATCTTATTCTCAGAGATGTGGTTTTGTTACAGGTAGCTTGTGTTAGCTGCAGCTGACAGGTGTGTTTTTGTTTACTCTGTTGATGTTATAATGATGTGATGCAGTGGTGTGTGAGATTTTTATTAACTATTTTGGTGTTATAATAACATGCATCCGATTTGTTTTTTTTAACACGTGTTATATTGTTAGGTTTATCTCACATTTATGTGTTTCAGAAGGACTTTATTGAACGACACCTGTTTTTAAGAGCGTATTTGATTAGAGGGGGTTTGTTTGTGTGGTAAATATAACTTGCAGGTGTGTTTAAATACAATTTATTTTATTAAATTGTTGTTACGTTTGCTTTAATAAAAAGGTGTGTTTTCAGACTTTTGTTAAGTATGCTGCTGAGTAAGTCGGGTTGTTTTAGTAAATCAGGTGTGCATTTGTACTTGATTTAACTGCGTTTCTGTTGGTGTAAGCTGCAGATGTGTGTGTTTTGAGGGTTAAATGTGCACTGGATTCAATCTCCAGTTTTCACGCTTGTGCAGTTTGAGATTTGGTGGTGTTGAGGTGAAATGTTTTGTGTTTAGGTGAATGGGCCTGATGGTGTTCTGCCCAATGGAGAAGATGCAGTGGTGAAGACCAGCCAGCTTCTGGCCGAGCTGAACTTTGAGGAGGATGAGGAAGATACTTACTACACTAAAGATCTGCCGGTGCACGCCTGCAGGTACGGATGACACACCTGCCCTGATCTCTCACGCTGTAATCATGTGTCTGTAGCTGTGAGAGAAATAAAATAATGCACGATTCTCTGAAATGCTTACCTCTGGTTGGTCACTCGCAGTATTTTGTGTGTAATGACACTACTTGAGGCTACTTATTTATGTAAAAGATGGTGCATGACCCCTCTGATTGTACATTATGCTGTAGGTCTTTTGTTTTTGAAGTAGTTCTTTATTATTAAGATTTTAGGTTTTAATTTATATGATTGTGTAAAGGGAAGTTTATATTTTCAGATTTGACATTGTCATTATTTTCACCAAACTTTCCCAGTTTTTATTTTATTTTTTAAATATTCATAATTTGAATGTGCATACACTACCTGTCAGAATATTTTTTGACGGGTAGTGCATGTAAGATTTTTATTTTAAAGAAATTAATATTTTTATTCCGTGAGGATGCATTCAATTGATCAAAAGTGACGGTACATACTTTTATAATGTTACAAAAGATTCCTATTTCAAATATTTGTATATATATTTGGATTTCAAATATTACATTTGAATGTATCTGATTATAATCAAATATTTTGAACTTTCTGTTCATCAAAGATTCCTAAAAAATTATGTATCATGCTAAAATAACTGTTTTCAACATTGATAATAATCAGAAATGTTTCTCGAGCAGCAAATCAGCATATTATACTGATTTCTGAAGATCATGTGACACTGAAGACTGGAGGAATGATGCTGAAAATACAGCTGCGCATCACAGGAATAAATTACATTTTAAAATGTATTTAAATTGAAAGCAGTTATTTGATATTGTAATAATATTTCACTATATTACTGCATTTACTGTATTTGTATTCAAATAAATGCATCCTTGATTAGCAGAAAAGACTAGGAAACATTAATAAATCATACTGACTCCAAATTTTGATTGGTATTGTGTGTAAGTATTATCATTTTGTGGGCTGGTTTTTGTTTCGTATGTTTGCAGCTACTGTGGCATCCATGATCCAGCATGTGTGGTCTATTGCAACACCAGCAAGAAATGGTTCTGCAACGGCCGCGGTAACACCTCTGGCAGGTGAGTCCACCAGTCCATTAATTTTGTTAACCAAAGCATTGTTAAAACTTAAAATGATTATTCTTGTCACATTTGTTTTCTCAGTCATATTGTGAACCACTTGGTGAGGGCCAAATGTAAGGAGGTGACGCTGCATAAGGACGGACCGCTGGGTGAGACGGTTCTGGAGTGCTATAACTGCGGCTGCCGTAATGTCTTCCTGCTCGGCTTCATCCCGGCTAAAGCCGACTCTGTTGTGGTGCTTCTGTGCAGGTGAAACATTTGCTAAGCATTTCATTCTGACTCACAAACTCAAATTCAGTCATTCTGGGAAAAGTTTATTTTGATTAGGTTGACCCAAATCTAATTTGATGTCTTTTAGGCATCAGTAAATAAAGGGAGATTTAGTCTTTGGTTTTAGTAATAACAAAAAAAATTTAATATTTTCTACCTGCTGGATTTCCTCTTTATTGTTTGAGTATGACACAATCTGTATTTACAAGATTGATTTAAGGCTTTCAAACTGTTAATATTGAGCTTTTAGACTCTTTTTGCATCTGTGATGGTCCATGCTTACTCAAAATGTGAAATGGGAAAGTCCCATGTATTTTCATTTTTACATGATGTGTGAAGTGTAAGAAACCAGGTCTGTATTTTATGTACCTCGTGTGCTAGCATAATTGCTTTTAATGTGTTTATGATTGCATATTTATAGATAAATGCGTAAATGTTTTATGTAATTTTTATAAATATTTTATTTCCCTAAAATATATTAAATATTCTTAAATCATTGTAATAAATAGTTTGTATTAATAAATGCATAAATTAAATCAATGCATACAAACATGATTTTTTTCTTCTTCTGGAGTTTACCTCTCATGTTGACTGAATTAATTTGATTTTATATTTAATTTGAGCAGTCTAGGTGTACAAACATATACCATATTTCAATTTACATATAGTACTAACTCAATGCAATCATAAAGTACCTTTTGCGATATGAACACAAGAACAATTGCCTTGTTTTTCTTCTTCTGGAGTTTACCTCTCATGTTGACTGAATTAATTTTATTTTATATTTAATTTGAGCAGTCTAGGTGTACAAACATATACCATATTTCAATTTACATATAGTACTAACTCAATGCAATCATAAAGTACCTTTTGCGATATGAACACAAGAACAATTGCCTTGTTTTTTTTCTTTTACAAATAAAGGTAAACAAAAATATATACACAAATTAATAATAATCATAATAAAATATTAAATATGACATTAAATAGTATATCAAATGTATATATTAAATAAAATAAAGGTAGAAATAGTAACTCTATACATCCAGGGAGAGAATGTGTGACCTGATTAAATTCCATTCAAAATAAACTGAAACGACTTTCATTAAAGTCATTATTCTATATATTAATCTCCTCTTAAATTATGTGTAGCAACAAAATCAGTCCATCTTTTTGATACAAATTCAACCCATTTCCTCCATTTTTCCAGGAGACTGGATAATTAAAAAATTTTTTTTTTACTATTTTATTTGAAATGTTTAGTGAAAATTTAATCACACCACTTGAAGCTGTGAAACCATAACATAATTTTGGCATAATTTTATCTGTTGCTGGTTTTATCAGAAGCTGTCAACCATTGCTTATCAAGCATGTGCACTGCCTCTGTCTCGTGGGGGTTGATACAAATTCAACCCATTTCCTCCATTTTTCCAGGAGACTGGATCATTTAAAAAAAAATGTTTTACTATTTTATTTGAAATGTTTAGTGAAAATTTGATCACACCACTTGAAGCTGTGAAACCATAACATAATTTTGGCATAATTTTATCTGTTGCTGGTTTTATCAGAAGCTGTCAACCATTGCTTATCAAGCATGTGCACTGCCTCTGTCTCGTGGGGGTGTGTGTGTGTGTGTGTGTTTGTTTGTGTGTTTAGGCAGCCGTGTGCCAGTCAGAGCAGTCTGAAGGACATTAATTGGGACAGCTCTCAGTGGCAGCCCCTCATCCAGGACCGCTGCTTCCTGTCCTGGCTGGTGAAGATCCCGTCTGAACAGGAGCAGCTGAGGGCCCGTCAGATCACAGCACAGCAGATCAATAAACTCGAGGAGCTCTGGAAGGTACTGTGATGTACTGCTTTCTAGGGATGCACAATATTATTGGACTGATATCGGAGTCGGCCGATGATGGCTTTAAATTTAAATATCGGCATCGGCCCGATATGAAAAATTATGCCGATATGTCTTGCCGCATTTTGCGTAGCGGGTACGCATTTTGACCTTAAAGTATGCTGGTACGATTTGTCACTCTACGCAAAAACCCGGTGACCTGTCCACACGCAGTAAACAAGCAGAAAAAGATGAAGAGTTCAACCAATCAGAGCGTTTTCCGTGTTTTTTTTAATTTCTCTCCAAACTGTCTGTTTGTGTGTCTGTGAGTCGTGCGCTGAGATGAGGAAACACATGTATGGTATTTCCTGGAGTCGTGAGCTCTAGTTCTTCGGTGATGCAAATGTGGACTTTCTGCGCAGGGGCGCCCTCTAGTATCCAGTATGAATGAAACCGACATTATATTGCGTTCATAATGGCCAATCTATAAAAATAATACTTCTCTCAAAATAAATTTAAGGTAGACGTGATAATCCATGTTTTTCTACAGTGTACAAACAACATTTTACTTAAAGTATACTGGAGTTCGTTTTTTTTAAATAGCATTTAAAATCGCTAAAAAGAACTCTCTTGTGTCAAACCACTTGCTAAATGAAGGCGGATTGTATAAAATGGATTTAATGGTTCTGCAACGGCCGCGGTAACACCTCTGGCAGGTGAGTCCACCAGTCCATTAATTTTGTTAACCAAAGCATTGTTAAAACTTAAAATGATTATTCTTGTCACATTTGTTTTCTCAGTCATATTGTGAACCACTTGGTGAGGGCCAAATGTAAGGAGGTGACGCTGCATAAGGACGGACCGCTGGGTGAGACGGTTCTGGAGTGCTATAACTGCGGCTGCCGTAATGTCTTCCTGCTCGGCTTCATCCCGGCTAAAGCCGACTCTGTTGTGGTGCTTCTGTGCAGGTGAAACATTTGCTAAGCATTTCATTCTGACTCACAAACTCAAATTCAGTCATTCTGGGAAAAGTTTATTTTGATTAGGTTGACCCAAATCTAATTTGATGTCTTTTAGGCATCAGTAAATAAAGGGAGATTTAGTCTTTGGTTTTAGTAATAACAAAAAAAATTTAATATTTTCTACCTGCTGGATTTCCTCTTTATTGTTTGAGTATGACACAATCTGTATTTACAAGATTGATTTAAGGCTTTCAAACTGTTAATATTGAGCTTTTAGACTCTTTTTGCATCTGTGATGGTCCATGCTTACTCAAAATGTGAAATGGGAAAGTCCCATGTATTTTCATTTTTACATGATGTGTGAAGTGTAAGAAACCAGGTCTGTATTTTATGTACCTCGTGTGCTAGCATAATTGCTTTTAATGTGTTTATGATTGCATATTTATAGATAAATGCGTAAATGTTTTATGTAATTTTTATAAATATTTTATTTCCCTAAAATATATTAAATATTCTTAAATCATTGTAATAAATAGTTTGTATTAATAAATGCATAAATTAAATCAATGCATACAAACATGATTTTTTTCTTCTTCTGGAGTTTACCTCTCATGTTGACTGAATTAATTTGATTTTATATTTAATTTGAGCAGTCTAGGTGTACAAACATATACCATATTTCAATTTACATATAGTACTAACTCAATGCAATCATAAAGTACCTTTTGCGATATGAACACAAGAACAATTGCCTTGTTTTTTTTTCTTTTACAAATAAAGGTAAACAAAAATATATACACAAATTAATAATAATCATAATAAAATATTAAATATGACATTAAATAGTATATCAAATGTATATATTAAATAAAATAAAGGTAGAAATAGTAACTCTGTACATCCAGGGAGAGAATGTGTGACCTGATTAAATTCCATTCAAAATAAACTGAAACGACTTTCATTAAAGTCATTATTCTATATATTAATCTCCTCTTAAATTATGTGTAGCAACAAAATCAGTCCATCTTTTTGATACAAATTCAACCCATTTCCTCCATTTTTCCAGGAGACTGGATCATTTAAAAAAAAATGTTTTACTATTTTATTTGAAATGTTTAGTGAAAATTTGATCACACCACTTGAAGCTGTGAAACCATAACATAATTTTGGCATAATTTTATCTGTTGCTGGTTTTATCAGAAGCTGTCAACCATTGCTTATCAAGCATGTGCACTGCCTCTGTCTCGTGGGGGTGTGTGTGTGTGTGTTTGTTTGTGTGTTTAGGCAGCCGTGTGCCAGTCAGAGCAGTCTGAAGGACATTAATTGGGACAGCTCTCAGTGGCAGCCCCTCATCCAGGACCGCTGCTTCCTGTCCTGGCTGGTGAAGATCCCGTCTGAACAGGAGCAGCTGAGGGCCCGTCAGATCACAGCACAGCAGATCAATAAACTCGAGGAGCTCTGGAAGGTACTGTGATGTACTGCTTTCTAGGGATGCACAATATTATTGGACTGCACTTGGATCATAGCACTAAATAATGGCCAATCTATAAAAATAATACTTCTCTCAAAATAAATTTAAGGTAGACGTGATAATCCATGTTTTTCTACAGTGTACAAACAACATTTTACTTAAAGTATACTGGAGTTCGTTTTTTTTAAATAGCATTTAAAATCGCTAAAAAGAACTCTCTTGTGTCAAACCACTTGCTAAATGAAGGCGGATTGTATAAAATGGATTTAAAGAAAAAAAGTTTATTAACGAGCTGCAGTTTTATTACATCACGCGCTGGCACATATTCAGTATATTAACGCCACGGATCATCAATAAGGTGCAGATTTAGTCCTCAATTTGTGTTTCCAACACACTTCACAGCGCGCATCATGTGCTCAAACTCATCAAAAGTCAACAAGTTCAACAAGCAACAACGACTTATCCAAGTGACTGATCGCGCGTCTCATAAGTGAGTGGGAATTTACCGAACGTGGCACTTGCGGGAGTTAACACTGTATGCTATACACGCAACCACTCAAATTTCAGGCCGTGTAGATAGGCAAGCATATATACAAATCATTTAGTAAGCAGAAATCCGAAATTTACCTTAACATATTAAGTTAGAGGAAGATGCGACAGAATTGATGCTTGAAAAATGCACTTCCAGCAGCCATGATAAACAGTTGGCGGTTAAAGTTTTCTATGCACAATTTGATTTGACGAAAGTCACGAGACCTATTACTCTCTATCCAATCACGTTGATGGATAAAAAATAAAATTAGAATAAGCATTTAACGACCACAAACGGAGGAAAATAGCGCAGTAAAAGTACCGATACATCACTTAAAATGTACTCAAGTAAAAGTAAAAGTACACCATTTTTAAACTACTCAAAAAAAGTACAATTACTGATAAAAACTACTTAATTACAGTAACGTGAGTATTTGTAATTAGTTACTTCACACCACTGAAGGTCAGAATCTATAGCTTACATGAAAAAAAAAATCAAACATGACATTTGTAAATTAATTTTATATTTACTGTTTTATTCATTAATGTGTAATATGTTGAATTTTTTAAACAAATCATAAGCTCTAAAAGATTTTCTGAATTTTTACAACTCTTTTTACAAATGTTAAATCTTAAAATAAAATGTTAGGGTTAACACTGCATCTTTCTGGGGGGGAAAATGCAGCGATTGATATATAGTTTATTTAGGCTATAGTTATTTTCAAAGCTTCAATGTACTGCCAAAAAATCTTCGTTGTTGTTTATTTAATTCTAAAAAATAATTTCTTGTTAAAAAGTAACCAAAATTAAAAATACTTTGCTTATACTTTGCACAGGAGAGACTTGGTGTTGTTCCAAACAAAAGGAAATATATCGGTATCGGGCAAAATGAGTTGAAAAATATGGGCAAAAATCCAATATCGTGCATCCCTACTGCTTTCTTATGAATACCAACGCAGTTTTGAGCATCCTGTTGTTGCATGACTGTACGTTTTGTCATGTTTGCAGGAAAACCCAACAGCGACCCTGGAAGATTTGGAGAAACCTGGAGTGGATGAGGAACCTCAGCACGTTCTGCTGCGATACGAAGATGCCTATCAGTACCAGAACATATTTGGGCCGCTGGTCAAACTAGAGGCTGATTATGACAAGAAACTCAAAGAGTCCCAAGTATGAAAACCTTTCTGCTCTTCAGTTATTCCTGTGGTTAAACTAGTGAAGATGCAATAGTACTGATATGATGATGATTGCGTTAGTAATTATTATTATTTTTTGGTTAACTTTCTGCTTGAACTATAGAGTGCAACGGGAGCCGTTAAATTGTCCAGTTTCAACCTTTTCCCATTAATTTTCTTCATTGGTAAAAAAAAATCAATAAATAGTTCAGCCCTGAACCAGACCAACCAGCTCTGAAATAAATCTCTGCATTACAACATTTGATTCAAACCAACTACAATCAAATGCATCTGGCGTAACGTCTGTTATGAGGATATGAGCTACTGTGAAATCCACAATAGTACTGCAATATAAACTATCTCCAAGTATAAGATATGATGTATTGGAGGTTTATTACAAACTATTCAAGTACTTTCAAAGGTATAAATATAAACTGATTCAATTATTCACAGTGCTTCATGGGATTGATTTGTCACTGTTAGGCTAAGGTAACAGCCATGGTTGTGATTGGAGGATTTTTGTTAAGGATCATGGGTAGTGTTGTTCTTGACCAGGAATTTGACATTTAAATAGGATTTCATAAAAATGAAGCTAAAATCACACTGACTTATAGCTAGTACAGAATGGATGGGATTTTAATTTCTGAACATGACTGTTGCACATTTTTGCAAGCAAAAAGTGATTTTATCATGTTGTGATTGCCATTTGAAATGTGATATAATTTTCCTATGAGATGAAATTTCATGTCTATGTATCTAAAGGTATATTTTAAAATTATATTGTGATTCCTGTTTTATTTCAATTAATTGTTCAGCCCCATTTCTTTATTTTAATTTTAAATTCTATTTAATTAATCTAGTTAGATGCATATTCAGATGTGTTTTTGATTGATCTTTCCTATTACATGAGTTTATTTTCTCTTAGAAAGGTTGTTTATAAGTGCAAAGTCCAAATACAGAATCAGATTTAATGTGTCAGAGACTGCGAATGTTAAAACATTTTATATTTATTCTGCTTGCTTATGTCCTGTCTTTTTAATTCAGACTCAAGACAATATAACAGTGAGGTGGGATTTGGGACTGAATAAAAAGCGGATAGCTTATTTCACTCTGCCCAAGACGGATTCAGGTGGTAATATTTACTTTCAGCATCTTCTGTGTCTACCAGTGGTTCATATCCATCCCATCCCTAACACCGTGTCCCATGCATCCCTCATCGATGTGTGCACGGACATGAGTGTGCGCGCGCGCGTGTGTGTGTGTGTGCATGTGTGTTTGTGGTGCTGTAATTGTGTATGTGATGGATATATAGCTCTATTATTGTTATTAGAGCATAAATCCGCAAAATGTGGTCTCTCTGACTATGTTTTCTCTGTGTGGGTGATGTTTAACAGACATGCGACTGATGCAAGGAGACGAGATCTGTCTGCGGTATAAGGGAGACATGGCTCCACTGTGGAAAGGGATTGGACACGTCATCAAAGTCCCGGACAGTATCCTTTCAGCAAAGATCAAGCTCGCTGTTGTCACACAATGACAGCTATTATTTTCTCTTGATAATGTGCATAGGAATGCATTGCTTATACTTAGGATGGCTTGACAAGCAACCACCCACCCAGAACACACTAGCAACTACATAGCAACATAATTGCAACCTCTGCAAAGCAAAACTCAGACAACACACTTGCATCGTGACCATGAGTTTTGTAGGCACTCTTTATATCAGCAGAAAGTCAGTAGCGCGTTCTTACTGTGCTGTTTTGATGTACGAGTATGTAAGTGTCTTACAGGGCGCTATATTGTATGGTTGATTCCTTAACCGAGATACTCTCAGATTATGGAGATGAAATCGCCATCGAGCTACGCAGCAGTGCTGGTGCACCTGTGGAGGTGCCGCATAACTTCCAGGTGGACTTTGTCTGGAAGTCGACATCTTTTGACCGGTTAGTCCTCTACTATCACATATACGCTTTCACTAGTCCATTAAATTATAATATATATCTATATATATATATATATATAT